GATCCTTAAATTATATAATTGGGGGGGGGCACGGGGAGACACACACAGACACAAGGGACACCGTAAGAGTCAATATTATTTCCAAAAGTCACAGGCTTAAATGGACCAGCTCACAATTAGTTTTTGTCCCTGCTGCCCGCTTTCAAGACTAATACAACCACAGGATTCCGTGAGATATTTTTAAAATTAAAAAACAAAACTATTTTCCAGCACATACATAAGTTCCCATGTAGGAGACCTGGTGGTGTGGTGGAGTAGTGGTTACATGTTGGGCTGGGATCTGCATGGTCAGCAGTTTGAAACCAGCAGCAGCTGCAAGTGAGAAAGACTGTGCTTTCTACTCCCATAAATAGTCACAGTCAGTCTCAGAAACCCAGAGGGGGTCTTTATGAGTCAGCATTGAATCGATGCCAGTGACTCGTTGCTTTTTTTGTTTTGTTTTTTAGTAAGTTCCTGTTGGTGATTTCCACTGCCGTGTGATTGATTAAAACAGGACTGCTATTTATACTCACTGTTTGTTAGAAAAAAGAGATTTCAATGAAAATTCATCTAGAGGGAACAATGACGGAAATGGTTTGGAGGAAAACATACTAAAAGTCATTTGTAAGGAAAATAAGTCCCCAAATAGGGAGTAGGGGAGAATATTTATAAAACACTCCCCCAAAGCAAATAAAAAGTTGTAGACAAGGCTGCCACCCAGGAGTATGCATAAAACTTCAAGAACACAGTTATCAGCCGTAGAAGATGCGCTCCATCTCAACTGAGTATTGCTTTCAACACACATGCATGGAAGCACACGCACGCGCGCACACACGTAAACATCGTGCTCAAGTGTCATAGCTAGTGATTAAGAGGCAGAGCCTTGACAGAACCACATGTCCTAAGCTCAGGGCTTCTGCTCCTGAGGCCAGAACTCCATGCTGTCTCCTAGGTTTGAGGCTGCCCTGGTGTTCTCCAGCTCTTCAATTTAAACTAGAAACTCACCTGTAAAAAGGAATCAAAGGCCCAGCAACTCTGGCCTCTTAAAAGTCCCCCAGACAAATGGGCACGGGTTAGCTGTCTTCATGGGGTCAGTCAGAGCCACCTGTGAAGCGTGCCATCACTGTTTTGTGGTATTTGATCTGAATCGTGCCTGGTCTTACACGGAAGGCATCAGAATCACATGGTCAGGGGCTGGGCACCTGGATCAGACACAGAGCTAGGCATATGAAACGCACTAGCCAAGAACTAATTCTGTAAACAAGATACTGTGATGAACATTAGCCTATCTTTTATAGATGATGTAACAATCCTAACTGCACACATGCCTGATTTTGAAAAATTCTAATCAGAAACGGCTATAAGCCAACAAAGAAAATCTAACAGAGGAAGAAGCTTGGATATCCTCCCAAATGTGGGCTAAGGGTCTAACAATACAAACGAGACGTACAAATACCTACAAAGAGCAAAGAAATAGCAGGTTAGGATGCAGAAATCAAAGGGAAATAAAAGCCGTTGTTGGGGATTTTTATCTCCTTTGCATTGCGCAATTCACTTTCTCTTGGTCAGAGCAACCTCTCCTCTATGTCCACGCCCTGAAAAATTCCTCCTTAGCTAAATTCTGTGTCCAAGACTCTGATTCGAGCTCTTCCCAGTACGCAAGTTACCATTAGCAATGCTACAGAAATAAAGCATGCCCCATCCACTGTGCACACAGCGTCTTTTCAGCTATTGTCCCCAGTCAACAACAGCCCAATCGTCACTACAACTAGAACCACAACGCTGACTGGAATGGAAGGTTACCACTTGATCTTCCACTTTGTTCGTGAATACCTTCCTCAAAAGCAATTAAAAAAAAAAATCAGATGTGTACAGTCACCGTTAACAGGAAAGCTCTCTTTAGGCCCCGTCTTCCCAGTGTGACTAGGCACTTGGGCTGATGAAACCCCAAACTTGGTTTTCTACCTCTAAATTCAAGGTCCATTCACTTCATTACCGGAGGTGCTCACCAAGGAAAAGCCAGGCTTCCGCTGTACCTGCCCCCAACCAACCCCACGACCCAAAGCAATTAATTGTCTGAGAAACGTGAGCTGGAGGGTTTCCCAGCACCCTCCCCAGCTCCCTCAACTCTTGAAAGGCATTGTAGACTGCCAGAGGAAGAAATGTGTCCCTTAGAAATGATGATGGCAATCCTCCTCGTCTCGTGTGCTTTGGTATTTATCAGGAGGAACCAGTCCCTGGAAAGGACAGCATGCTTGGTACAACTGAGGGTCAGCAGAACAAGGAAGACCCCCAAGGCGAACGATTGCTACGTGGCTGCCCCGGTGCGGGACCAGGCCCTAGTGCTTCTCTTGTGCACAGTGCCCCTGCGTCAGAACCAACTGACAACAAGCTGCGTGACGCACTCAACACAGTTGGGTTCACTCAACTCCCAGATCAGTTACTGGCTTTGCTCTCTGAACTCCACCTTCCTCGTGGGTAAAACAGGGATGACTGTATCTGTCGTCAGTCTCCCTGTGGGAAACGCCCAGTTCAGTTCAGTGCCTGGCCAAAAGTCAGCTGCAACAAAGGTTGGTCTATTTCCTACCATCTTCTCTGATCAGAATACTTCCCTGCCTATCTTCTCATGACTGAGTCAAAAATCTTACTTCTTAAACCACCTTGCAGAACATGATCCTACTAATTTCCAGTTTAGCAAAATTGTCTGCATTAAGACACACACACGACCCTCTTTGTTGGCTCGTTCTTTTATTTAAATTTAATATCCCACATGATACTGTAAATTCCTGAAGGGCCTTTCTCTTTTCAAGGATCTTTCCTTTTGCTGTTCAGAATGAGCTCTCCTGGCCAGCAGCACCAACATCACCGAAGTTCATCTGAACCGCAGACCCTCAAGCCTCATCCCTGACTTACTGAATCAAACCTTCCAAATTCCACAAGTGCTTTGTTTATGCAGAAAAGTGTGGTACGCGCTGTTCACAGCACTCATGCACACACAGAAAATCAGAACGTGTTGACGCCTGAACCCGACGGAATCAACTGGGATACTTCTGCTATTGTTGGTGCCCTGTGAGCCCTTACTCAGACCGAAAGTGGTTCTTGACCAGGGCATCATCACTCGAAGGGCAGGGTAAAAGGAATGCTTACCTTGTGCTTTTTGAGTTTAAAAACAGGTGTGTGTGTGTGGGGGGGGTGTCCATCACAAGGTGGGATATACAGGGGACGAGTAACAGAACTGTGGGTGAAGGGAGACAACAGATAGTGTAAGACAGGAAGTACCAACAATCATATATAACTGATCTAGTATTCACAAGGGTGGGAGGGCGAGGGAGGGGTAAAGAGGAGCTGATATCAAGGTCTCAAGTAGAAAGAAAGTGTTTTGGAAATGTTGATGGCAACATATGTACAAGTGTACTTAATACAATTGAATGATGGATTGTCATCAGATTTCTAAGAGCCCGTCCAATAAAATGATTAATAAAAAACAAAAACAAAACATGTGCACTAACTAAATATACTGGGAATATTTAAATCTCTATTACTGAAATCTTTATTATATGTTAATAGTTATTATGTAATTAATGTTATTATATGTTAATGTATTTTCAATACAACAAATAACATGAGCCCCGGATTATATGTACACTAATTAATTCACCGTTTGGAAGGATACCTTCAATGCAGTAAAATCTGGTGTCGAGGATGCAACAAATTATAGAACGATTAGTAATAAGCGACCCCAAATCGAAAGTCCTCAACACCGCATGACAAGGTTCTAAAGCTTATCTTTGTTTCTAAAGTACACTGTGCCGCTGTGCACATGGTTTTCCCCTTGCATCAGCTTTCTGAAACATTTCTTAGTTATTTCCAGTCACATATGAAAGTACATTTTTCACTGCCCTGAAAGTATAGCTAACGCCCTGAATTCCTCAAATGAATTACTAAAACGCTGGATGAAGCAGACTGGTAACTGCACCTCAGGAAACAGAAACCAGTGAATCAGACTGAGTGAATCATCTTTCTGATCACAGATAACGCAGCCACAGCCAGGGCTTGGCACAAACACATGGCTACAGGAATCTCATGCTAGAATCTTGTGCTTAATGGTGTCTCACATTAAAAGGCGTAAGTCAGCTCTGGGAAACCAGGAAGTGGACCCTGGACGGCACAGAAATAACAAACACACTTTGTGGAGCTTGGTACTCTTCTCCTTCTGCTCCCATTTCAACGGACTTTGAGGCATGAAGATGCAGGGGCTGCTCCATCAAGAGGAGAGGCGAGCAAAATGGGCCAAAGCGAACCAATGCAGCAGGGGCTCTGAAACGGTTTCTGAGAAATGGTCGTCCCAGGCTAGAGGCCAACTTATGGAGGCTTCCGATCCAAAATGGTGACGGTGATTAGATTTGGGGAGATGACGAAAAAATGTACAGAAGTGGCTTTAGAAGGAGGAAATTATTCCAGAAGGAGCAACGCCTAGGATTTATAGGCCATGCGTAATCGGTTTCACGGCTGTTCTCAGCACTCCAAACTTGAGAGAGAAAATGAGTGGGCAGTGGACTGCCATCACATGGCACGGCCATATAACGTGCTAACCCACGTGCCTGCTAGCAGACTCCTTGGGAGTGAAGCGCCAGATGGAGCTTCAAGCCTCTGGAATGGGGCTATGTGGGAAGGCCAGGTCTAGCACAAATGGAAGGAGTGAACCAGCGTGCCTTGGGGGGACTGCCAGTCCCATGCTGGTCAAACTAGAGATCATGCCAACACCCAGGCTACCTTTCACAGAGCGGAGGCATTTCCCATCAGTCCCGCACATCTATTAGTAGGCAGGGCTCCGCACATCTATTAGTAGCATGAGACACGTGGGGCTGGCTGAGCACCTCCACCTACAATATAAGCGCCTTCCTCAGAAACAAAGAAGAGCAGCCAGGGGCAACCCACCCAGAGTGAAAAGGAACCGAATGATCTCTGAAGTCGGAACAGGATACAAGAGAGCCCATTCTTCCCATAAAGCATGGAACTACCTCATGATGAAGGGGACAAAAGGCGCCATGCTGAGGGCAGAGGCAGTGCCGTCCATCGGAGAAGGGTAGAGTCTCCCCAGCACCAACAGTAAGAGAAACATGCTGGGGTGCCGGTTCAGTTCTTCCGTATCACTGAAGAAAAGAAAAAAAAACGATCAAACATAAAAGAGTTACAGTTTACCACACGACACCCATCCTCAACCATTTAAAGCATCAATCCGTAGGACTCAAGACTCTATGACCAAGGGCCAGGTCTTCTTTTTATCCCATTTTTCTTCTTCTCATTCCACTTCCTATCTACCCAGTGGCCACCGTCTGGACAAACGACCGGCAGTGTCTGAGCCGAGCTGTTGCACACAACTCAGTTCTAAGGCTCATTATTAACCAGAATCCTCTGCTTCATTAGAGCTGCTCATTTAGCAGAGCAGGGCCTCCTCCACAGGGAAGCTTTCGCCACCCCAATGAGTGGATGAAAACAGAGGGGCCCTTACTTACTAAGGCCAGAAAAAGCTGTCTGCACAAACAACTATGGAGGAAATAGATCAAAATCAGAAGTAAAATTCACAGAGATCATTTTGTTTTCTCCTTAGAGACAATTAGCATGAATTCCTACCAAGTGCAAAATTTGCGGAAAGAATACAAAAGAGTGTCTTCTACGAGGACAATGTGAACATTTCCATATGCCCAGGTCAGTCAGGAAGCCCTCTCAGAAGATGGCTTTGCTTTGTGACTACAGTCACTGCCAGGTTTGCCGATATCGTTTCTGATGACAGGTGACCACATCAGCTGGCTAATGGCGGTGGTTCCACCGTGCTTAGCTGTGACAAGGCAGGTGTGAAACAGTGACAAGTGTGCATGACATAAGCTCAGTATGGACACTCACGTAAAGTAAGTCCTAACCAAAGCACTCACCATGTGATTCGAAAAAACTGGTTCTGTACTAACACCGAAAAGAAGATTAAATTAGATAAAACCAGATGCTTACACCTTTTTCTTTCAGGTATAAAGTTATGGTAGAAAGCCAGGTAACATGATGCAGTAAAGAAGGATGTCTTGTTTTAATTCATCTTGTTACAAGGAAGGAGTCCATTCAAAAGCTGTTTCCTAGAGAACAGTCCCAATACCGGAATTCATATCCTTCATTTGTTTGTGCCCTACCCTATGTGTGCCTTACCTGTCCACAGTATTGGCTACAGTTTCCAACTGCTTGAGAAGAAAAGGGTAGAGTTCTGGGAAACGAGAGAAAAATTCTCTTCCTGTCAGTCTGTCAAAGAGAAGAAGAGAATTGATAAGTTGCTATCATTTATTCCCTCTACGTTGTTCATATGGCTTTTTGATTTTACTTTTTCAGATGGTAACTAAAGCCATTTGTATGCTTCCAAAACATTTGATATCAGACTCTGTCGGCAAAGAGATATATAATCTATGAAAATGCCAAGTTTCCACACTTGGTTTGTACTCAGAGTGTGGTGAACACCTGGGGAAGGGAGGCTGACTCAGTCGCAGTGATACGGGCAGGTCTAGACGAGGCTGTCAACTTTGGCCCGACTGGCACTTGGGAACAAATAATTCTTTGTTGAAAGCCGTCCTGCTCATGGCATGGTCATCCCTGGCCTCTACCGACGAGATGCCAGTGGCAGCACCAACCCTTAGGCATGACACTCAAAACGGATTCCAGACATGGCCAATGTCCCCTGAGGGCAAATCTTCCCTGGTGGAAACCACCGTTCCACAGTGGCTATCCGAAGTACAGACGTGATGAATGAGCTTCTCAAGAGCCAAATCCCAGCTGACATCTGTAAGGATTACCTTTCCCAACTTTATAAACACAGGTCAGCTACACTTGAACACTGACTGGGTCTTAAAAATTAGTTTCCCAGACTGAACAGCTGACTGAAACGCTCAGGCTAAATATAGCATTTAGGAAAATATTCTGTCTCCAACTACTGAAGGAGTGACGTAAACACTCTAAACTGGTCATTTTGATCAACTCTAGAAGTGTTGTTCTGATTAATGACCCAGACTGTTGTGTATAATGTTTTACACACAGTGACAATGCTCAGATCTTAAGGGCATCAACCAGTTTCCACAGCTGCAGACACACATGATTCTGCATGAGCTTATATAATCTACACCCCCATCAAGACTCCGAAAATTCCCAGCATCCTAGAAAGTTCTCTAATCAACTCCCAATCAACCCTCACCCCCGGAAAAGAAACCACTGATCTAATTTCTATCACTCAAGTTGGCCTTTGCTATTCTAGAATTTCATGCAAATGTAATCATGCATTACATAATTTTGTGTCTGGCTTTTTTTTCACTCAGTACAAAGTGTATGAAATTCAACCATGTTACCGGATATGTCGATAGTTTGATTCTCTGCTGCAGTGGTATCTTGCTGTAGGACTACACAAGCTCGTTTCCCTGTTCTGACTATCATTAATAAAGCTGCTACACATGTTCTTGTGCATTGCTTTTTTGTTTTTGTTTTTTTAGAATTCTTAAGTGTATACAGTGGCTGCTGTACACAGTTGAATAATAAGTGTATTGGTAAGTCTTTTTTTATAGGTGTAAAGATAGTATCCTATCACAGACTGCACTGTCCTTCAAGGTAGATCTTAAATGTTCCTTTTGATGGTAAATGCAATGCCATTCTTACAGAATTTGTCATTCCCAGTAAAGCATATGATGGTCCGATTCAAACTGACAATACCAGTCCCTTTTAGCTCACTCATGCCTAGGATATTGATTTTTATTCATTTCATTTTTGACAACTTTCAATTTTCCTACAATCATATTTTGTAAACTGTTCTCATTATCCATACGTGTTTGCACCAGTTTCTTCTTTTTTAAAAAAAAGCATTTTATTAGGGGCTCATACAACTCATCACAATCCATACATATGTCATTTGTGTCCAGCACATTAGTACATATGTTGACTTCATCGCTCTCACAACACCTGCTTTCCACTTGAGCCCTTGGTGTCAGCTCCTCATTTTTCCCCCTCCCTCCCCGCTCCCTGCTTCCCCTGCACTCTGGACAATTTAGAAATTATTATTATTTTATCAT